CGTAATTTTTTTGGACTTTTGGTCCGCGTTGTGTTCTTGAATTTTCTGTGCTGAATCTAACCGTATAAAGAACGTGAATTTTGGACGTACGGTTGGAAAGTTATAGGCAAAACACTGGACAGAGGTCGAAACTGAAAAGCAGAGAATTTCGACTCTGTGCAAAACGACCGGTCGCTCATCACGTCCAAATTTGAGTTTCGACTCTGCCAAAAACGACCGGTCATCACTGTTCATGAGACCGGTCATCACTGTTCTTTTTCACTGTTCACAACACTATTCACAGCACTGTTCACAGGTGATAAATAGGTGATAAAATGGTGATAGAAAATGCTGTTTGTGTTTTTCTTTAGTTTTCTTGTGTTGTTTCATTTCTTTTACATTTCTTTACTTATTTTTAGGTTCCATTTTGCATTTGTGCATTTGTGGTGTGTCAATTAAGTGTTCTTTACGTACTCAAACTAGAACTTATAGGAAACCGACAAGTTCTTCGTGGGATCGACCCCATACTTACATAATCTATACTTCGTTAGATTCGTGCACTTGCGGGTATTTTTAATTGGTTGTTTGCACATTAATTTGTGTCCTCTTAGGAATGCAACAGAACGCCGAACGGCAGCCAACCTTCGGAACGAAAAATACAAACAGCGCGTCTCTCGGTATTACGACTCAAGGGTCAGACCTCGCTCCTTCATAATCGGGGACTGGGTTATGCGCAAGGTTTCGCTTGCAACCAAAAACCCAACGGAAGGAACCCTTGGACCTTCCTGGGAAGGACCCTATGAAGTCATCGGCATCCTTAGATCTGGCACCTACAGGCTCCGAGGCACAGATGGGAAGACCCTCAGTCACCCATGGAATGTAGATCACCTCAAGAGTTATTTTAAGTAAAGCCCCCTAGCCAACGGCAGGGTGGAATTTTTATTTTTGCCTACGGCACTTATATATGAAATGAGATTACCCAAAGTTGTACATGTTTGGAGCATTATAGCCTATCGGCACCTTTTCAAAAAAAAAAAAAAATTTTGGTAGGCCTCATTATATACTAGCCACA